GGCCTGCGCACTCTTGTCGCCAGCCTTTTGAAAAGTCCCATAAGCAAATTGATTTCTTGCCTGCCACACACAGGCAAAAACGATCAATTGTGGCAAAGTGTGAGGTGGCAACTTTGGCTGCCAGAGTGTGGCCGACAAAATATTTATTAACGTCGCTAGCAAACACCTGCTAATGATCGTGACGAGCGAAAACTTCAGGCCAAGCAATGCACGAAACATATACATACGGGTGTGTATGTGCGCGCATGTTTGCATAAGTGCATCCCAGCCACTTACGAGCGTTGCAAAGCAGCTTCTTTCCACCTCACCCAAATCGCCTTTTCAATGCTGCCGCATCATCTGTGCGTACGCCAACGCCAACGCCAACGCCGCCGCCATCAAATTATTGCATCCATCAACCGCCGTCAAAGCTGTCGATCCGCGTCGCACTTGCACTGGCATTCGCACTCACCCACCGACACGTTGTTTGCCTGCCACGCAACCGGATCTGACGAAATTATAATCAATTAATGTTCGCGCGAGCGCATTAAATTACACACCTTATGCCCATTCGCTAGCCATGGCTGTGGCTATAACGGCGGCTATGACCGGCGGCTATGACCGTCGGCGGCAACACAGCAGCGCTCAACGTAATGCCGTGTAATAGCCACACACACACAACAATTGAACGACGACACCCGAACACCACCAAACAGCCGGCGGACCAAAGCAATGCAACAACGAAAGCATCCATTATCCTTTGGTTACGCGGCTGGCTGTGGCGATTTCGAAGCGCTGAAACAACAGTTAATGCGTCAATTTGCCGCTTGTACAGCACACGGATACAAAAAAAAAGAATTACGCTGGAAAAAAAGTCACAATGCAACTAAAGTTACCGCCGTTTTGCCGTATCCAACGCACGCCGCGGCACCGTCGCCACGCCAGTCAACGCAATTTTGAAATTTAATTAAAATAAATTCAATTACAGAAAACATGGAAATCCATTAAGCAAATTATCGTCATTACCAATACGATAGTTGTTGTTGTTGTTGTTGTTGTTGTTGTTATGGTTTTCTTCATCATATTACAACGCTACGCGCTGCGCTCGCAAAAACTGGCTTCTGGCCCCAAGCGACCCAAGATCGCCTTTTAATAGCATCGTTTATTGTATACTTACACACATAACTATGTACTTACTTGTGCTTGCATACCTACATACATATATATACGTACATGCATTTTCATCTGTTGGCATCGCTATTTGCTTTGCGGAGCGCAGCTACATTGGTGTGCCATGCAACATTGTTTTGCGTCGCTGTAAATTGTTGCCAAATGTATGGTGTTTATATAACAAATTAAATTAAATTGATTTTTAACATTTTTCGTTTCTCAAATTACGTTTTTTACTTAGGACTACGTTTATGATTCGCGAAAGCCAAGTAGTGCGTCATTTGGGTTCGTTGCTTAAGTCTTTTGTTGTCTGGCAAGTAGACGTGCGATGTTGCTCTCTGCTTTTTGTTAGATTATACTACATATCAATATAACAAAAGTGCTCCATTCAATTTAATATTAAAAAGAAAACTATGTAGACAAATAATAAAATATGGAAGATCCAAAGCTTTCCTCTTACTTATTTCAAATGATATTTTTAACATTATTAATAAGGTGCCGTGTTGCGCCGCGACCTCTTCGTAGTCTATTGTATGTACTATTTTTGTCTTTATGTATGTGAAGCATTTCAATATATCGAGCACTTTCGCATACATGTTGTTTCAAATTTGAGGAGTTCCTTATACATGTATCTCCTTTGATTATCAAATTGAATGTTTTAACCAAATTATGATTACTGTTAGCCCTTTCCGTGGGCTAAACAAATAACTTTCCTGACTACTGTATACTGAGGTATCGGTACGGTGACCATATTTACGGCAGCCGAAGACGGGGAAAAAATCAGGGCAATTCTGGCTAAGATAGTAAAAGTCTGCAGAGCACAGGCATGCCGCTGGAAAGATCCGAGTTCGAGACTCGGGCGTCGCATTTTTATTTTTTTCTTTTTAATTGTTTTTCTCTTTAATTAATTGGGAAGAAATAATTTTTTTGTTATTTCATTTTATTTTTAAAAATATTTTTTTAAATTATTTTTGTGTTATTTGCATTTTTTAAACCCACTTCAAAAAAGGAGAAGGTTATAAATTCGTCGGAATATTTTTTTTTTGTTTTTTTTTACGTGTTACCTCATAACTTTAGACCGCGTCAACCGATTTCGATATTCCTTTTCTATTGGAAAGGCGGTCTCTCTAGCATGGTCCCATTTGGTTTAGATGAGATCATTCGATCATAATGAAATTAACGGTACACGTAAATGTGTATATGAGAATTGAAGTCGGTTATGTTTTTTTTTTTGTGAATATATGTCAAAACATGTGTTTTAGCATGATACAAAAAAGAAGGTAGTTTCAATAAACAACTTTTGACGGATAATAAAATTTTTTGAAGTTTCATAAATTGTGAGTATTATCATCAGCCTTGCCACTTTGGTAATATTAAAACAATAAATCGGAGTATTTTCCTTCCAATATTTATACCAATGTAATAATATTTCAAATCAAAAACCATCATCAGTACTTGGTAATTTTTTTTTACTTACGTAGCTCGCACTATCGTCGTATAAAGTACAAAACCGCGTATCAACAAAATGCAAAACCGCGTATCAAAATAATACAAAACCGCGTATTGAGGTTGTATAAATTATTTTCTAGAGAGTAAAAATACTCATATTTCAAAATGGTTCTCTTTTTATAAAGCAATCACATTTCTGGCTAGTACATATATTTCCGGACGAATGGATAAGGCTTGAGCCAAGAGCTTGTGTGAGCAAATCCAATTATTGGCAAAAAATGTCTGTTACGCGGTTTTGCAGAACGACGATACGCGGTTTTGTACTTTAAACGACGATATGGAAGTATAATCTTGATCACTTTCTTCATGCGTTCGGAAACCTAGTCATCAACCCTATTTTCGAAATTATGTAGCCGGCATAATTTTCAAGTCCATCATATTCCACATCTTTGAATGTACTAATAAAATCTTCTGCTTTAAAAAAAAATATATTTCTTCTAGTGATCAGGTAGCATGAAATTTATGAAATGTCATAATTTTATTAAAAGTCAAATGGTTAACAACAACAACGAATGTCATTAAATGGAACTACCTTCCTTTTTGTAACATGGGTGTTAGTCGAAAGAGGTTTACAATTTTTTTTATTGTTTTCTTTTTTTTTTACATGAAAACAGCATGCAATGAACTTTTTTAGAAATGTCAAACAAATTTGTTTGCTGTTACTTCATTAATTAAATTAAATTTACATTTTATTCAAAAGTTTCTTGCATTCCGGTTTTAATTACAAAAAGGAAAATAGTTATGCTGACTATACACGGGGCAACCGTTGGAGCAGCGTGTTGAGGCAACCTGAGTTTTTTGTTCAATACACACATGGAAACCATTACGGCAACCTCAGTAGTACTTGCCAATAAAATCAATACACAATAATACACAGGAAGTAACCGACTCGGCAACCAACTCTAAATAACCAAATAACTTGATTATCGGGCGACGCTAGCGGGAACACGAACTTTCAAGAGGAACAATGTCACACACGAGGCGACGGTCGAAGCAGCTTGCCCTGGTTGCTTTAACGTTTGCCTTGTGTGCAGTCAGCATTACTTTTTGTTTTCATTTAATCAAATCTTGTGAATGACCTTAAGAGTAATATTTTTGTTTTCAAGTTCTTTAAAAACTTTCCCACTCACCAATATACAATTTTAGTTTAAAAATTAAATTTTCAAAGTAATTTCATGTGTTAGGTTTAATTTATACCAGTATTAACACAATGTGGTGCAATTTCAACGTGCAGTCCGTACACACTGCAAGGGTTTTGCAAGACTTGTAGAATATCTGAGATATGCCTAGTATATAGGGGGCTTATATCTGTGTACAGTTTTCACAAAAGCTACTTGCTGATGTGAGAAGCCAGCTGAGACTTAACTGTCATCATTGATTGCAATTTTAGCTTTGAAATTCAATAGTCAGTTCTTCTGATAAGCGACCTACAGGCCCAGCATTAACATCATCGATGACAGTTAAGCCTAAACTGCAGATAGATAGCGATGAAGATAAACCTTCGATATACAAATTGTAACATTTGTGTAGCGCCACCATTTTACCACACATGCAATCATTGTCGATCTAATCATCTAAGCAGCGGCTTGTGTAAACAAATTTTTATAATTTGTCAGGCTTTGCAATAACGAAAAGTGCAAAGTGCAAAAGCAGAGCTGTGACATCGTGTGCCATATGCGCCCGGAGTAGTTTTAGTTTTATTTCAGTTTTTATTTACATTTTATTACTTTGTGTGCTAATTGAACTATTTGTGGGCTATATACATATTTATGTACATATAGTTTTTTTTTTTTTTTTGCTTATCCAGCGCTCTCACAAGTTTCTAGCCGACTTTGAAGTTTCGCTGTTTTTTTATTCCGGCGGCGCAAGTACTAGCTTGCAATTTAATTTAATTGCATTTGCCACTCGCAACTTGCCACTGCCATATTAGCATTTCCTGCTGAACTTGTGCGCTCTCATTTTGCTTTATGGTTGTCAATTAGTAGCTTGTTTTTTTCATCATTTTTTTTTCATCATTTTTCTTGCATTCGTTGTAAATGTAGTCGTTCGAGTTTTAATTAAATTTCTATTGTTTAATTGGTCTCAACAGTCCATTATTCAATTAACCATATAAATTGTATGATAATCAATAATTAAATGATTGCATAGATATTTGCATTTGTTTTGTTTTTTTCTTTTCTTTCTCACATTTGTGTTGACTTTTTTCTTCAATTACTAGAATCAATACTTGTATAAATGTTTTCTGTAAAACAAAAAAAAAACTTGTTTTATACCAGTTCAATAAATACTCGTATGTACCATAAATAAATATTAAATACTTTTTTTTTTGTATTTATTTGCAGGGAGGAATTAGCCATGAAAATTGGTCTAACTGAGGCGCGAATACAGGTAAGAAATTTATTAAGAATTACACATTCTTTTTATTTCACGAAACGTAGTAACTTTTTTAAATATATTCATAAGTGTGTATATATATATACGATGCTAATCGATATTCTTGAAACTAAAGCTTATTAATATTCCCGATGTTTTGGTGAAGCATTTTCCTACTACACGTATTACTATATGTGTATTCAGAGCTGTAGGACCCCTCTAACTGAAATTTTCTCAAAATTTACATTCTTACTCGTAAGAGTATGGACTGTCTATGTGACTTAACCCTTATGCAAATCGCACTGAGCAACAATTTTCTGGTCATTAGCTTGGGCGGAATGTTTCCAAATCAGCAAATCAGGATGCAAATCCTAGACCCAAATATTTTTGCATTCCCTAATCAAACTTTTTTTTTTGGATGGCGATATTAAGTTTATAATTTTTTGCCCGAGTATTTAAAGAATAAATGGAAAAAAGAGTTAAAATTCATATCGGATCGAAATATATAGTTTAACTGCATTTTCCCTGCCGAATAGCGAATTTTAAAACTTAATCGACAATTTGCCTCCGAAAGGATTTTAATATGCCAGTTAACGCTTGTTAGTTAACGCTGACGCCTTTGCGCCTATTAGATAAAGCGGAGGCATTTTTTTTTGGTATCGACTCAATCCGACAAATGATCGTAGCGCCAAGAAAATAATGTCTATTCAAATCTTCTCTTTTGATCCAAATGATAAAGCATAGTCTTAGTCCTCGTTTCCTGCCAATTGCCGGCGGTTGGTAACACCAAGTGAAGACAAATCCAGCGCATACCTTACCGTTCCTCTGATGTATTAGGGTGGTCCACTCTTTTACGTAATTTTACTAAATTTTCTATTAAGGAATGTTTTTTATCTATATAAGTACTTCACTCCAGTATGATATTTTCCACAGATTAACCATTAAAAAAAAAGTGCTCTCAATTCAAGCTCTCAAGAAGGACCCTTAATTTTGCTAATAAACCGAGCTAACTTATTTTGCACTTAAATTCAGAGAGACCAACTTTTCCTGTGTTTGATTCTATGACTAATTTCTTTCATTTTACACATCTTCAATAGCATTTTTCTCCCAGCGAAGCAGGGGCGGATTTTTCCTAAGGCCCAAAAATACACTAATGGTAACAAGCCACGCAGGACCTAAAGTAAATACATGTAAACTCAATACACGGACACTTCACCCTTAAAAGCTATATGGTTTTAAAAACACTCAGGTCTAGGGAACTTTATAATAAATTTGATTTCGCTACTAATCTGACGAAATTAAGCACATCAGAATTTGAAGAAAAAGCCAATGTATTGCAAATGGTTTTTTCTACAGACTTAGAAGACAAATTTTCAGAAGTACATATGTATGTATCCACCTTCGTGTCCAGTGCAGTTTATCGGATGTGGATCCGTTGTAACATTTACCCAAACTGGACATCGCTCTTCGTATGTGCGAGTATTTACTGGGGTATTCCGAAAGAAGTAAAGTCGGAAATTTATTGCTCTCATCCCCTAGAATTGTTCTATACCGAACAAATATTTTTATTCCGAAATCAAAAAAAAAATATTTAGAGGTCGCCTAAAGATTTCAATGTATTTTATTTGGGGGAGAAAAAACAATTTTTCGTAGAAATGGTATATAATTCTTGAAAATCAATATTTTTTGATCAGAAAACTCTCTTCTCTCACGGAGATTTTCGTGTATCATAATGGGCTTCTGCTTACTTAACTACCTACATAACCGTTTGCTTAAGATCTCTAAGATTAAGTAGCTTGCATGCTGTTTAATAGCTTTAAATTTACTTAGACCCAAATAAAATTTTGCTGCTAACTAGATTCTTATTCACCGCGCTGGGTTTATTTAAATATACGTATGTATGTACATATGCCATTTATGTACATTTGTATGTACTTGTATATGCAAAAATTTAATGGATTAAAAGATTGTAATAAGCAAATGTGAAAATCATTACATTTATCACACTTCAGAGGATGTTTTGCAATTTGTTTGTATACACGAAACCTCGCCAGTAAAATAAAGCAACTACCAGCGGTTATAGCAATCAAATTACTGCAACAACAAAAACAATTTCAAGCAGCAGCAACAGCTATAGCTATAAATAAAATACAAAAATGCAAATTAAAATGTTCATCTGATTTCAATTACAGTAATTGACATGCAGATAATGATGATGGGGGGCAATGATAATGGCGAGCGGGAGCGGGAGAGAGAGAGCTGTGCCGCTGGCGGCAACTGCATGTAGTAAACTTGGTGGCCCAGTGTTGATAGTTTGATTTGAATGCATTCAATGCAAATTGCAAATTGCAAATTGCTAAATAATAGAGCATGTCAAATACAATTAGATGTGTGTTTTTATTGTTGTTGTGATTTTTTAAATTCGTTTCTTATTTTTTTTGATTTGCATGCCTGCAACATGACTACTGCAATTAATTATCTGCAGTTTGTAGCGTTAAATGAAAAAATGATTTTGAAGCAAAAAAGTAGCCGGTATGCAAGCAGATTTTGTTCTTTTGTTTAGTAGAGCTTGCACTTAATTCACAAAAAGAAAAAATTTTAATTAATTTTTGCAAATTAAGTTGTGGCTTGCGACTGCAAAAGCTATTAGCTTTGCAAAATCTAGAAAATTGGTTTTTCCATTTTATTTATTTCACTAATAAGTATGCTATTTTTTTTTGTGGAGATTAAGCCCCGATCGCCGCAAAGCCAAACCAACCCTTCAACATACAAAAGACTTAAGACACAAACTTGATATTGAAACCTATAGCAGCTTAGCTAAATTCTATTACTCACAAATACAATTTAATGCTGCCAGTCATAATCACCACCATTAGTGGCAACTCAATCAGTCTGCACATGCAATGCTGCAGCAACAACTAGAAGATGCTTACATACATACATATGTATGTATGCAGTTATGTATGTACATACATATGCATGCTTATACTTAGTTGTGTGGCAAAGCCTCCTTCAACTTGATATTCGCGGCTATTCGTGCTGGAACGTAATTCGTTGCGTTAATAAACTCACTACCGCAATAATGACAGCTGCAAACAAAAGCAAAGAAGACATACATAAATAATACGAAGACAATAACATTGATAATTACATTCAACAAACGGCTTGATTTAAACATTTTTTTTAAAGCAAATGTGCACCTAAGGGTGTCGATGTTTTCGGCTGCGGTGAAAGAGTGAAAAAAAATGTTAAGTACTTAGATTTAGCATTAAACTTCTGAATATCTTTTTGTACTTTCCTTACCTTCTCAAGAGACGCTGCTACAGAAGTATATTATAAAAAGTTCTTGAAATTATTATTAAAGATCAAAGAGCGAAAGTGCAAGAGATAGAGCTAAAAAAGGAATTAAGTAAAAGGTGTTTGGCAACGCTCTCTGTCCAATTGTTGGCTTTTGTCTTAATTTTTGAAAGAAAGTCAGTCTCGAAATGATCCTAAAATAGGTCTGAACTTCTTCTTCTTTGGGTATGTAGGTACCTAAGCGATATTGGCGAGTTCAACAAAGCACGCCAGTCGCTTCTCCACCATGCTAGCTGACGCCAATTCGAAATATCAAGTCAAGTCCTTCTCCACTTCGCCTTTAAGAGCAGTCTCAACGGATGTTAACATAGCCCTGAACTAGTCTCAAATATTCCATAAATAGCTTCGAAATGGTCCTGAGATATGCACCAGTTACCCACTGACGGAGCCCCCATTCCTTGCGAGAGAGAGAGAAGCAACGACCACATCACCGTCAAGCGGTGGTGAGTTTTTGTTAACAAGATAATCCCATTACATGGGTCGTGTCAGTTAATACGGTCTCCAATTTTACGTCGGTGGATAACTACGGCCATAGTCCTGAGGAGGCGCGAAAGGTCGATAAAGTCATGAATTTGTTCCGTAATAACCTCCAACAAGTCTTGAAAATGCAGAGCGCAGAAGACGTTGACGTTTGGTTGACGAAATGTTTGACAGATCTGCAGGTAGTTTATTAGAGTTCGGCATGGGTTTCTTCATCTGTCATCCCACGTCTAATACTTCTTTGATCTGAAACCCCATTGGCAGGCTAGTACTGAAGTACCAAAACAATATAATGTGGTCAGTGCTGTCTTCTAAGTAAAGTTTAGTTCCATTTGCTAGTTTCCCTAAGTCTGAGGATAATTTGTTCCAGTTGCCAGTGAAACATCGTACTAAGCCCGTTCAGAGCGGCGCTTTTTACCGCTTCCAATATGCCAGAGCCTTGAACCAAATACTTTCTTGTTATTCTCTGTGTAGTGTATGGCATTAGGGTAGATCATCAACAAACAAAAATTGCGGTTTTTCCACCGTATTTATAAAATTTATTATACTTGAATACCTGCCAAAATATTTGGGAATAAAATTCGGAGATTTACGTAAGCTTAACCGATTTGAAAATATCTCAAAAAATGTTATTACTTTGATAACGTTAATACATTTTTATGCAGACCTTTTAAGCTTATGGTATGAGGTGATTTTTTAGCAAAAATATTTTTATTTATAAAAAAAAATCGATTTTTGGAAGTATTTTAAAATAGCTCCAGCTCACGTAAATCTCAATTTTTATCCGAAACGTTTTGGCAGAATTCTTAAACTATCCTAAATTTTATATTTTTGATGGGAAAACATTAAAAATTTTTTGTTTGTATGGGGTGATGAACCCTAATGTGCATATAATCTAAACATTCCGTTAAGAAAAGAAATCGTATGTATACTTAGGGGGTATAAAATCGCAGCATCCATGCCGTTGCTGGTATAGTTTTTTTTTATTTATTTTTTTCTTCAAGTGTTTTTCATTACTTACATACTTCATTTTTTCAACATACATCACCTACAGATAATTTTGATATGCAGCACATGCAAACATACATCTGCACGATGCATTTCATTGTTAATGCCGTAGCTCTGCCTTCAGTTGGCAGTTTTATTTTTGCCTGCAACTAATCGTAAATTAACGCTAA